CGTGAGGCAATCCCGCCTCACTGCTTTGAGCGAAACACGTGGAGATCAGCCAGTTATATGGTTAAAGATCTTGGCATAATTGCGGTTCTAGTTTACGCAGCGACGTTAATTGACGTATACCTTCCGCAGACGCTTCGTTTTTTCGCTTGGCTTGTATATTGGTTTTTTTGTGGGGCTTTTGCAACAGGTTTATGGGTGATTGCTCACGAATGTGGACACCAAGCCTTTTCACCTCACAAGTCTATAAACAATACAGTCGGCTTCATATTGCATAGCGCTTTATTGGTTCCATATCATTCGTGGAAAATAACACATGCTAAGCATCACCATTTTACGGCTCATATGGATAAAGATCAAGTATTTGTACCTAAAACACGAAAAGCACTAGGTATTCCTGAGAAAGATAAAGATCATGATGACGGAACATCAATATTTGAAGAGGCACCTATTGTCACACTCATAATGTTAATTCTTCAACAATTATTTGGATGGCCTCTCTATTTGATCTTTAATGCATCAGGGCAAGTGTACAAGAACCGTTGGGCCAATCATTTTAATCCATCATCACCTATATTTGACCCTAAACATTATAACGAAATAATTATCTCTGATATTGGAATTATTATCGCATTATCTATTATTTGTTATTTTTCTTATATTTACTCATTTATGACCGTAGTAAAATATTATTTAATACCTTACTTAATTGTAAATCATTGGCTTGTTCTCATAACTTATCTTCAACATACTGATCCAAAATTACCTCATTATCGTAAAGAAACATGGAATTTTGTTCGTGGAGCTGCTTGTACAGGTATTTTAACTTACATAAATGATTGTTTTATTTTTTATTTAAAAAAAAATAAAAAATTCATGAAATTATCTTCAAAAAATCACAGTGGATCGTCATTTCGGATTTCTTGATTCTATATTTCACCGAATCTCGTCTACACATGTCGCTCATCATTACTTTAGCAACATGCCACATTATCATGCTGAGGAAGCAACCATTTATCTTAAAAAAGTTCTTGGTTCTTACTACATTTTTGATAATACACCTATCTTTAAAGCTTTATGGAGAAGCTATAATCAATGTCGATTTATAGAAGATGAAGGAGAAGTTATTTTCTACAAAAATTAAAACATTGTGATTATTAGACAACGATTAATTACATCTCGAATACATAAACAATAAATTATTTGATGTCTTCTAAGATAAAATAAAATTAAATCTTACTTTATACCCTCACCGAATATCAATCAAATTTTATATTCTACAAAATTATGACAATTTTATAGCATTGTATTTCTAACAAAGGAGTGCATTTGTGAAATTTATAATATGTTTAGAGAATTGAAACGAAACATTGTCATAGTTTGCTTTCCCCCCTTCGCAGGGGGCTTTTTTTTGAAAAACGGCTGCGGAATTAGACCAGCTAGCACCAGGTATAACCAACGAAAC